AACATATATTAATTCTTTACCTTATCCACACTTATTACATTCAAGATATTTTCAACGCTAACTATCGTTTCCCTATATAAGCTACCGTAAACAACAGAACAATTTCTCCAAGCCCGTTGAGAGATTTATATGTTCATTTTTCTGCATATGTATGCATTAGATTCTTACTTCCTGTGCTTATTGATGACATCGTAGTGTTAGTAGCGGCTGTTGTTGTGGTGGTCGTCGTCGTAGTAGTATCCGTCGTTGTCGAACTGGTACTAGTGATGCTAGCACTAACTATTGTCATGGTAACATTAACAATGACAGTTGTTGTGGAAGTTAAAGTAGTTGTAGTAGTGGTCGTCACTACGTAAAATAATGCAAACAGATATAACTTCAGTGAGGATCGATGACAATTATGCAAAGCTCGTATGTAGATTTAGAATATGTTCCCTTTTTGTGTCGAGAAAGGCAAAGCCTCAAGTGGAAATGAACGTAGTGGACATTTTCTCAAAGCTCAGTTTTTGTTTTTATAATGATTTACAGATATTCTTCCACATATTGCCGAGTTACGAAAAACAGATGACTATGCAAACAATTACCTATATCTTTCAGCCATAAGAAAACACCGACGTTGTTTACACCTCTATTTCCTACAATGATATCAGGTTTGCTGTCCAAATTCACGTCAGCAACATAAACTGAAGACGGCACAGAACCAGAACCTGTCGAATAGGTTGATCGATTACCAAATATACCGTTGCCCAAGTTGTAGAGAATGTTGATGCTACCTAAATTAGAATCTGCAACAATGATATCTGGTTTACTGTCCAGATTGATATCAGCCACAGAAACAGCGTGTGGTGCAGAGCCAGGACCAGTTGAGTAGGTCGTTTGATTAGCGAATGTTCCGTTGCCCATATTGAGAAAAACGCCGACGTTGCCCGAACCATAGTTGGCAACCACAATATCCGGTACGTTGTCACCGTTTAGATCGCTAGTCGTCACAGAGTAAGGCGAAATATCAGTTGCATAGACCATTTGAGTTGTAAATAGAACACTAGATTGGCCTATTGAGATAAGAGGATGATATTTCTTAACTTAACTAAACTACAGTTTCCTTCAGTAGAGTTGAATACAGTGTGAAATATGACAGGCTCGCTAAAGACCGTCAGACGCGTGCAACTTTTTATCATCTACAACTTTACCATTCTTTTTAATTCAGATTTAGAAATCAGTGGTAAAGCAAATTATGATATTTTATTTGAGATTTGTTACGGAAATATTTTGAAAGATTCGAACTATTAGTTAAGTTTCTTGTACGACATATTCTTCCGCTCAATTATCTACTTACATTCCATACGTTAGTAATAGCATTACCTGTTACTGTAACAGTAGAAGAAGTACTAGTTGTGCTCGTTGTACTACTACTAGATGTTTTCGTAGTGTCACTTGTGTTGTCAGTTGTTGTGGTAGTGGTCGCACTAGTTGTGGCGCTAGTAGACTCCGTTGTTGTAGTGCTACTTGTACCGTCAGTTGTCATGGTATCAGTTGCCGTAGTGCTACTTGTTATGTCAGTTGTTGTGCTAGTGGTCGCACTAGTCGTGGTATCAGTAGTGGCGGTACTAACGGAAATAGTAGTACTGGTGGTAGTAACTATAATGGCATTAAAACTGGTCGTAGTGTTACTATTAGTAGTGGTGGATGTAGTAGTTGTACTACTAGTGCTAGTGGTGGTGGATCTGGTACTGATACTACTTGATGTAACAGTACCGGCAGTGGTACTGTCTGTTGTGAGAATACTAGTTGCAGGTCCTAGAAATGAAAGGTACAATTATCTCGAATCAGTAAATGAAGCTAAAATTAGGATGTGAATGCAGATATAATACGTTTGCGTCCACTTTAAACCATGATTGTCAGAAAAGTGCGGATGTCTGTCATAAAAAGGGTGCATGCAGATATTCTGTATGTTTCATATGTCTGCTTCCTGAAATATGTATCAGAGTGTTTTTTTCTGTAACTAAAACTTATGACTGTCAACCTCACCGTACCCTTAATAAACGGAAAATTACCTGTCGTTCCAAGTGATAAGAAAACAGCGATGTTGTTCGAACCGTTGTTCGCTACGATGATGTCGGGATTGCTATCAAGATTGAGATCGGTTACAATGATGGAGATCGGCATAGAACCAGTTGAATAGGTTGTCTGAAAATTGAATGTGCCATTCCCAACATTGAGAAGTATACTGACGTCGTTTGAACCATAGTCTGCTACAATGATATCAGGTTTGCTGTCCAAATTCACGTCAGCAACATAAACTGAGGACGGCACAGAACCAGAACCTGTCGAATAGGTTGATCGATTACCAACTATACCTTCGCCCAAATTGTAGAGAATGTTGATGCTACCTAAATTAGAATCTGCAACAATGATATCTGGTTTACTGTCCAGATTGATATCAGCCACAGAAACAGCGTGTGGTGCAGAGCCAGGACTAGTTGAGTAGGTCGTTTGATTAGCCAATGTTCCGTTGCCCATATTGAGAAAAACGCCGACGTTGCTCGAACCGTAGTTTGCCACAACTATATCAGGTGTGTTATCGCCATTTAAGTCGCTGGTCTTCACAGAGTACGGAAAATTACCAGCCGAATAGGTCGTTTGATTAGTAAATTTAGGAAGCGATTGAGCTAGGTGTAAAAAAATATGCTCTCAATGGGCCTATGCAAGTCTTATGATAAACTCAGTATTTCTTTACATCAGAATTTTATATACTTGTCTTCAGGAATGCACGACGTAGACTATTCGAGTCCGCGACGGCTTCCAGACTTCATGTTTCTTCTGTTTTTGCTTAATTGTTTATGGAAAGTCTTGAAAACTTACCGATGTCGTTATATTTAAAATTCTGAGATGCATTCACATCTCTCTAACGTCGATCGGGTCTTACCTGAACTCCGATTAGTGAGCAACAGTACACTGAACCAAAAACGTAGATTAGTAATTAACATGATTTGGAAAATATAATCAATCCGTTATTGAATGAGAACAGCAGAAAAGAAAACAATTCGTCATTCATTCTCTCAATTGAATGAAGAAAAATGAAGTCGCACCGAGTCTTTTTATTAGCTTGCTTTGTCTACAGATCTGACGATCGCCAATTTTTAAGAGGAAAGAAAGACAAAAGAGGAGATGAAAAAAGCAATCTATGGGAAAAATTACCCCTACGGAACACTGCGATAGATAAAATCACAGTTGCGCTTGCCAACATTGCCTTTTCTACGGACGGAAGTGCTATAACATATCGTGCATCTTTAATGGCATACTATTAATTTTTGTCTCTCTCGTTCAGCTTCGAGTAGAAAAGAAATTGGGCAACTTTAGTACAACTCGTATTATTTTTAACAGTGTAGGGTGAGGGTGTGGGGTGTGGGTGAGGGTGTGGGTGAGGGTGTGAGGTGTGGGTGAGGGTGTGGGTGTGGGTGAGGGTGGGGTGAGGGTGAAGGTGTGCGTCCGATGAGTTTATCGTTTTTCATTTCACTTACATATTATACACGATGGAAATTATAGCAAGATTGTTGTGAAAATAGACGCAAAGGGTAATAGTACGAGAGAACACAATCATAAAGATAACTATGTATGATAATAAAGACAAAAGGCTGTATGAAACTATTTTCTTCCAAGAATAAAACAATCCTTTGCCATAAGGTAGGTAATCGTTGAAAACAGCTATCGGAGTATTATGGATGAAGTATTACATATAGCTGATACAAGCTTGACTCACTAGAAGAACGCGAAAAACAGTTGAAGAAGGTCGTCTTTGTTCCATAAGGACGTTTTCTACTCATTTATTTTTTCTGCGCTGTGTGAGTTTAGTTTTGTCGGATTCATCAAACCACTTCGACTACAATAATCGTCGATAAACATGAATATCGGTAGACAAGCTGATGCACTTTTCATGACGGCTGATATATACCATATACCTATTTCCTAAAAATATACTATATTTCGAAGGAAAAACGTCATACTGCTACGTAAATCTTATATCGACAACGAAAACAATCTGTTTCTGATATTTCTGCATCCGGTACGATTGTGCACAGCGTTGATTCAACAGGGGAAGTTACAGAAAAGTCGATGGTATTTCACAAACACCATTGAAAGCGACGACAACTATGACTTATAAGTTGCTTCCATAAGCTTCAGTTTGGCAGCAATAGACGAAGGGCATATTTTTCGCAGGATTGACGTCGGAAGTGTTCATCAGCAAGGTACTATTGAACAGCTCTGTGATCGTTATGATATACATAACCTTATAAAAAGTGATATCATAACTATAGAACAGCAAATTAAGTTGGATTATTTTTACAATAATATTGTTACTACTAAACACATTGGGATCGAACAGATTAATTTCTGTTCAAAAGAAAATATCTTCATTACCTTTCAAGAAACACGTAAAGATTTATTCGACTCAACTAAAAGTGAGCCATTTCCTTGAGGTTTTCCCCCTTTTTATCAATGCCTAATTGTCACATTATAGTGCGTCGTGGAAACGACATAGGTCGTATAAGAAAATGCAAAATCGACTACTTATTCTACTCACTAATCGATGTCATTGATGATCACGATGTGAAGATATATAAGCGTGACACATTCGAAATGATCTATATAATGCGAAACATGATATACGGTATCTGCGTTCAAGTATTTCGCCATTAAAAGAGATCTTCATTACTTTGTGGAAAGATGATCAAACTTAAATTATCCAGAAGGATGTTCAACAATGTTTTCGAAAGTCAAACATTTTCTTGCGGATCCTACTTCATCTTCGATACTTATTTGTACATTCACATCACGAAGCTCAGGATCTATACATAGAAACACAACACTAGTCGTCAATACTCCAAACATAGCTAAGACCATAAACACACAACGATTCGTATATAAGGCAATAACATCGCCTGGGTTAGTATTCATCTGACATAAATACAACACGATACACTCAACTTGTTCTAATAGTTTCACATATTTATATATCTGCTTTTGATATGCACAGTTGAATGATGTGGTGAAATCTGAACTTGTTTTTGGAGTTGTTCATGTAAAATAAGTCCATGTTTATTCTCTTGAATAAGATGTGAATAATCCCAGAGTTTTGCTCTCGGACATGTTGGATCACGTATGACAATATCTATTGCATAATGGTAACAATCTGCCACGAGATTAGCTATTTCAGATTCGAATAAATTACAATTGAGAGAAACGGCTGCACGAATTGGTTGATTCAGAACATAATCCATCACTTCGATGTTGAGATCAGATTTCATGTAAGGTAAAAGTAATTTGGAATCATTGGTACCAGTCCATGTAGTTCCTTCCGTAAAGTGTTTTGAACGATCAAATTGATTGTATGAATTCATTTCGAAAAGCACTTTTGATGTTCCATAGTGAATAAAACTGATTCACGTACATTTCGAAGGATGTCAAAGAATGTTGCTACCGAGCTTTTCGGCAGATGAGTACATATGAGTATCGTACTGATCAATGGGCCAAATATATCGGTAAGACCGATCTGTGAACGTATAGATATAATCGAACCCAATATAATATCCGATGTATCCGAACAAAATGCACCTAATACACAATTGAACAATGCCGTTAAAATTGTATACAGAGTGCACGAATAATTTATTGCTAGTTTTCTTAATTCTTTGGCCATTTTTGTCGGAACTACAAATACTGAAGAATGCGATTTCAATTCGAGATCTTGGTTTTGTTCATTAACAAAATGTGGATTAAAAATCTTGTAAACAATGGATGATTTGATCTAAATCATTTGTTAAGAATGGATTTTTTGCAAGATGAGTGACATAAATTAAAAATGATTTGTATTCATTCGACTTCATTGGTAAAGTTGTCTTGTTTGAATCATATAATTTGAAGAATTCATTGACAAATTGACTAGAGGATTGCCCATCGCGAACGATGTGACAGTAACAGATCAGTAAAAGACGCTGATTATTCAGTAAATGAAAAACAATGAATCCACAAACTTGTCCTTCGGTTACTTTGAATAGTTTAGATGAATAAAATTGCAAACGTCGAGTCAGTCCAGATGTTTGTATCGCTTCTTCGATCAAAGGTAAAGTTCAACGATCTTTTCTTCTTTAAATTGGGTTTGCAATAATTCATATTAAGACATCAGGTAATCTAAGAAACAACTTAGTTTTTCTATATTTAATTATCCATTGATTTTCGAAGCTATTGGAACATTGTAAATCGAACTGTGTGGTTTCAGTTTCCAGAAAAACCAGATCTGTTTTTGAGCAGATGTTAGTGGTGCTCGAGAAAGATCTTTCGCGTTTAAAGGTTCTAATCTCGATGGATTAGCTGCAGTTTCCATCTGTTTCTCTGCATATTGGACTAATTGGCAAAATGACATTTCGTACCACTTTATTTTTTTGGACTTCCAGCGCACACGTTCGTATTGTGATGCCTACGCCATGGAATCCGTAAAAGTGAAACTCTAAGTAAATCACCAGCGTCTTTTTGAGTGGACGGGAATGTAAAATGGGTACTCAGATTAAGTGATGGCGCCTAAGTCTATCCAGTCTTACTTTTTGGTAAATTTAACTCTTGATTGCCCACTTCGGACAGCATTTCTGCCAGTTTCGAAATCATTTCTAAGCAACAGATTTCCGACCACCCGGACACGTTGCCAGATGTTCGGAATGGTTGGTACAAAATGTAGTATACCCAAGTTTGAAATCAATTTAATGCGACTCCAAAACTCAGGAAGTTTTTTAAAACAGACTGAGTAGGTTTTTCAAGTAAAAAAAAAGAGAATTTTCCATCTACGGAAAATAGTGCTTCAATAGTTAAGGTCAAATATGTTAATGCATTGTTTCAATTGTTTAAATGCATTATTTTATCGGTAGTGTTGATAATGGCATTTTAGAACTGTAAAGCAGTGATTATTGTTAGAAAACGCAAAAGTATCATGCACTACTTCTAATACACAATCAGATCTATTCGAGAGGTTCATTTTGACATGTTCATTGCAACAAAATGTATTCAATGAAAGCAACTTATAACGCTCATTTCATTTTCAGAAATGTTCTCATCGCTCATTCTTTTTTCTCTTTTTCCATTCGCAATGACAACTTCGATAACTATGTACCGAAATGCTTATTTTTCTCCATTTGATTCTCGTTATTTATTGAATAATCTTTCATTCATCAATTCAACTGATTCATGCCTTTGTCAATGTTCTTCAAATTCATTTTGTTTAACAATGATCTATTCTTCAATCACTCGACATTGTATTCTTTTCTTTGCAAATATCAATCAAGGACAATTACGATTGATGACAACCAATACAAATACAAATGTTTATAGTTTCAATAATCGAAGTTCGATAAGTTAGTTAACATTGTCAAGAACAAATCAATTTATTGCAAATCTTTTTCTCTTTCTCTCATAGATATAACATCGATAACATCAATGAATGAGACTGTTTATGGAATATGGAATACAACAGCAGGTAGTGACAGTTTATCCGAATACTCTGGCTATCAGCCCGGTTCATATTGGCCCGGTGAATCAGCTAAAAATGTGTTGGATGGTAATTTAACTACAGACTTCACAAGTCATGGTGTTTGTAATAGTACTTTATTCTTATTGACATGTGGAGAAAATACTGGTTTCTACTTTAAATTTCGATACACATCGATGATTCTTGTTGGATTTCGATTGAGTACAAGTTTATGGTATTTAATGCGTGATCCATTAACAGTGACAATCGAAGGAAGTAATTTCAATGGATCTGCTCTCACTCTTGGATCAAGTTGGACATTGATTTACAATGGTCCTTCAGGACTTCTTTCAAATCCCGGACGAGGACAATGGGGAACATTCCAAGCACTTTCTGGTCCTTTCATAGGATTTTCGAGTTTTCGTTTTCTTGTCACTTCGAAGAGAGGTGTATATCCTGCTGTAGGATATTCAGAAGTTCAATTTTATCATTTTTAATGTAAACCTTTCCTTGTAAAATTTGACGAAAAATGAAATAATCTGCACAGTGACTATATTGACTAAATCGTTAGAAACAATTGACTTTCTCCTTCATCTACAAACTAGTGTTTTCCAAAAGATTGATCTTCATTGAATCTGTGGCTTCGCGAGATTATCCTTTAACTTTTCATCCGAATGATTTATTTTCACTATAGAAGAGTCTTTTATTTGGAAAAGTAATCAGGTTGTCATCAATAGCCAATTGATTGACATTCAGATAAAAAGGTGTGAGTTCATTGATACTTTGCTTGAAGAAATGAATTGATTTGATCAGTTAAATACGGAATTTCTGTATTGATACAACCATCATGTTCATTTAAATGGTCATGACATAAACATAATCCTTGTCATGTATTTTTAAATTTCATTTGTTCAACAATAAAGAATTGATATGGTGATAGTTATTTTTTGCTAAAGAGATTTTACATTGAATATCTAAAAATAAAATCAATTTTAAATATCTGTTAAAGTAACAAAGAGTGAAAGTGCGTAGATTGATGATTTTCAACAATATCAAGTAATTCGTCTTCTATTTAGTATATAACGATTTACTAACATTCAAAATAAGTTGCGTCGAGTAGCAAATAGTACGTTGATTATAGTTATTTATATATTTTACAAGAAATCATATAATTCAATAGGATTATTCTTTTTTTTTGCCTTTTATCATATGTGAACGGGGTCTTTTATATCAGCCTGTTGATATCAAAGATGAAAATAACATTATCTTTGTTTGTCTTTGAATATTAAGTTAATTATTGAATCAAGTGAGGGTAAGAATAAGATGATTGTTATCCGAAATCACACCGTCAAGATAGTGAACAGAAGTATATTCTGTGTATTTGGCATGCTGAATTCGAATATACAATCTATTTTCATGGAAAACATTCACTTTAAAACTATTATAGGTTGTAATGATTTTTCCAGTGAAACAAGTCATCAAAGAGAAGCGGAACGAGCATGTTGGAAAATCGTTTTTATTCAAAGAACAATGAATTCGATTCTGCTTGTATTCACATTAATACTATGAGAAAAAAACGACAGTGAGAGACATTAAGTATCGATCCGTTCTCTCATCATCAAAATTATTCAGCCGTAACAAAAAGACAAGAGCTACACGAAGTCAGTCTATTTTTTGTTGCGTATTTCATTATATTATATGATCAAATTTGAAATATTTCGATTTATGAGACAAAAAAAAATAGAACATATAAAAAGTCTTAGTTATTTTCAGGCATCAACGAGAACGACGGCTAAATTTTGTCCATTTCCGTTGTTCTGCAGCCAAAAACTCACATCGTAGGTTCGGCCACCCACAATGGGAAATGACTGAATTAAGTAAGTCAGTCCACTCTGTGTTCCGTCTGTATAGTAACAATTACCTAAATGAGGAAAATCCCAACTAATCTGTGATAAAAATGGATAGTTATTTTTATCTGTTGTTAAACGACATTGTGAATAGGACATCGTCAGATTATTTGATTCAAAACTACCGTCTAAATTCGTTGAATCACTTGTTTTTGTATATGTATCGAAAGCGACAATGTCATCTAGGCCCCAGAAATCGGTTTGATGTTGAAAGCCAAAAGCAAGTGTCAATTTGGTCGAAATTACACTTGAACTAATAGAATAACTAAATTGTCGATAATCAAACATATCTTGATTAGTTAAAGTTAACAATAACGTCGGATTTTGCATGTTTGTTGTACATTGATTATAAATATAAGCTAGAAAGTATTCCGTGAGAAATGAAGAAGAAAAACAAGTTTAATTTCTTTACCTGTTAGATCATTTGATGATAGAGCAGCTTGAGCTAGAAAAATATTCAGATGAATCCGTCTGAATGAAGATGAGAAACTGACCTTGGCGTTGTAAAACAGTGTAAACGACTGATATGACAATAACCACTATTATAACGATGATCGCTGCCGCTCCAAGCACGATNCTAATAGAATAACTAAATTGTCGATAATCAAACATATCTTGATTAGTTAAAGTTAACAATAACGTCGGATTTTGCATGTTTGTTGTACATTGATTATAAATATAAGCTAGAAAGTATTCCGTGAGAAATGAAGAAGAAAAACAAGTTTAATTTCTTTACCTGTTAGATCATTTGATGATAGAGCAGCTTGAGCTAGAAAAAATATTCAGATGAATCCGTCTGAATGAAGATGAGAAACTGACCTTGGCGTTGTAAAACAGTGTAAACGACTGATATGACAATAACCACTATTATAACGATGATCGCTGCCGCTCCAAGCACGATCTTCTCCGCACTGTCCATTACGGACGTAACTTTCTTTATAACCAACATAATTATTACAAATCTCAACGAAAATGCAAAGAAAAATGACGAGAAAAAAACAACGTTTTTCGATAAATTATGTTAGTGTATATGTCATTTATTTCGTTTTTTTCTTTTTGGACTACTCATCATACCTGTGTATATTTCGTAAAGAGTAATCGTTGATAAAATATTTTCAATCTCGTAACGAACGAACATGGTCGAAACAACAGAAGCAACGTGAGTATTTCTCAATCAATCACTCTCATTTCGATAAATTCTTTCGTAGAACCGAACGGCGATTCGTTGTCACATGGTCTGTTTTGCTCTCTTGGGGATGTGCCTTCTTAATCGCACTTATCTCCGTGATTGTTATTCCGATTTTGTATACGAATAAAAAATCCAATCAAGCTGCAGATGCAGGAGTTGTTCTGCGTTGGAATACAAAGGGTAGAATCGTTGCCGGAACTTTAAATGAAGAAGGGTCGGGTGCTCGGCAACTTTTTCATCCGATTGGTTTAGCATTTGACTCATCCGACACACTTTATGTTGCCGATTATGAAAACAATCGAGTTCAAAAATGGTCAATGAATTCAACGACTGGTGGCACAACAGTTGCTGGACAAGCAACTGCAATTATGGGTGCCAATTCAACAATGTTTCATTATCCTACTGACGTACTTCTTCATCCGAATGGTGATCTGTACGTATCAGATCGTTATAACAATCGAGTCCAATTATGGGCCAGTGGTGCATTGGAGGGAAAGACCATCGCCGGCACAGGTAAATAAATAAAAACTAGAAATAGATATTTTTCATTGAAAGATTTTTTTAAGGGCGGGCAGGAACTGAAAATTATGAATTGAATAATCCATGGGGTCTTGCATACAAACATGAGACGAAAACATTGTTCATATCCGACTGCTATAATAACCGTGTAGTTGCATATCAATCAGGTTCTTCGAATGGTACGGTTGTAGCTGGTGGAAATATTCAAGGAAAAACACCGACACAATTATTTTTTCCTACTGGAATCTATTTTGATTCGTTAACAAATAGTCTTCTCATTGCCAACTGGGGTGGAAATAACATCGTTCGATGGGTACTAGGTGCAAGTAATTGGACTCTAATCGTGGGAAGTGCTATTGGAGAATCTGGTAGTGGATCAACATTTCTCAATGGGCCTTATGACGTGACACTTGATCCTTATCGAAATGTCTATGTCGTTGATAATGCAAATTTTCGTATACAAATGTTCAAACCTGATGAAATAAACGGCACTACACTTGCAGGCTCAACTGGAAGAACGGGAAATAGTTATGGATTATTAAATAGTCCATATACAGTGGCATTTGATAGTCAACTGAACTTGTATGTAGCAGACACTTTTAACAGTAGAGTTTTACGATTTACACGATATTAATTTTTTTTATTAATAAAAAAAAAGTTTCAATTCAGTTCTTTAAGAGTTAATTTAAAGCTTTTGCACAACTATCCGCAGCACCATCTGCACTATTTCCCCACCAATGAGGAAAAGCAACTTTTTGATTGTTCAATGCGATATTGACAATAATCAACGTAAGATTAACACCCAAATCCAATGCGCCAGAAGTTAGATAAATATGTCGTTGACTCCATGTATATTTACCATAGGTAAAATACACAGTAAAAGCGATGACAAGCCAAGTAAAAAGTGCGCCACCCGAAACAATTGCAGGAAGCCAGCCGATTGTAATCAAAATCAAAGGCCAATGTATACTTTTCATCCAAGATAATTTTGGCCAACGTGATAAATACCAGCCCGGAATCGGTAGAATTGCACCGGCTACAAACGCNTGGAGCTGGTGCAGGACCTGACATTGGTGCTGGAGCTGGTGCAGACATTGGCGCTGGAGCTGGTGCCGACATTGGAGCTGGAGCTGGTGCTACCATTGGTGCTGGAGCAGGTGCAGACATTGGAGCTGGTGCAGGAGCAGGTGCAGACATTGGAGCTGGTGCAGGAGCTGACATTGGTGCTGGAGCTGGTGCTGACATGGGTGCTGGTGCTGGTGCTGCCATTGGTGCTGGAGCTGGTGCTGCCATTGGTGCTGGAGCTGGTGCAGACATGGGTGCCGGTGCTGGTGCAGACATTGGAGCTGGAGCTGGAACTGGTGCTGGTGCAAGCGCATATATTTGAGGATCGATATTGTTAGCCTTTGGTTGGAGGTACACCGTTGTGCGTGATGATACTAGTATCACAGCAAAGGTAAATACGAGTATCTGAGCCAAGCGAGTGGGCCAGCGGGGATCCCATGTCAGGCGGGGTCTGAAACAAAGAACAGAGTTCGAAAATATTATTTGAGAATGAGACAGGATAAAGGTGATATACATACTGGAGAGCTTGTGTTGAGTGTTTGTGGGCTAGTCCATCGCACGTGTCGGCCATTGCGCCTAAGGTACTAAATTTACGAAGCAATTTCGTCACTTTGTAACAAAAAGGAAGTGGCAATTGAAGGATAGCTCGCTGAAAATAGGACAGCCAGACTGGTTTCGCATTGCTTAGGATACTTTTTGGCAGAAGACAACCGAATCAGATGTATCCGGTTCATGATAGAATGTGGGAATATGACCAAAACAAAAGCACAGTACGAACAGAAAAGTGTCAGTTATATATAAGTCATTTTATTCGAAACATTCGCTTTTTTCTTTGATGCGGACAGGAATTTCATTTTGAATGCAGGAAACATAAAGTGATTCTTTTAAAAGTATCATATTGTATCGTCCGTATTAAGCGAGATTCAAGTAAAGAGTAACGAAAAGGTATAGAATCGACTCTTGACATGGTTGATATCGTCGTATGTATAAAGAAGGATGAAAACGGAGTAAGACAGGTGGTATTTCACTACGGTAACGATCATAATAGCTTCATTGTATTTAACATTTTCTACTTCTGTAGAAATGTTGGTATTAGTACTAAGGGGTATAGCTAGTCAGTCGTCTGGAGATCTGAGGATTCTGTGCATTTAATGAAAGAGATTGAGGCATGAGAATTCTCTTCGACTTTTTATCACTATAAATGTGCAGAGTCATACGTATAAATGAGCAAACCTGTATTATTATGGATGACTGTAGTTGAATACAGAAATAACTGACACGTTTGATGTTTTGAAACTGAAAAATAATACATCATTGTACATAGTTTATATACATATCACGTTTCAGCGTCTGTATGGTGTTTCGCTCTACTGCTTTTCATTATTATCGATTTTTGGACTTTTATCGATCCGCCACTCTTCATTCATCACCAGCTGCAAAATATTATATTTCATGTGATTCTTTATTTTTTCACAGGAAAAAATCAAGTTTTGATTGGATTAGAATATGATGTTCGTGACAACACTAATCGAGAAATATTTTACTATATTAATTCTTTTTTCTCCATTAGGCACTATAAAAGTGCAAGTAGGAGCAATGCGAGAAACAAATACATAAACTCATTATACTTTTCATAGACTTTCGTCATAACATAAAATCCGAGCACGAAAAAAATGTCAACAATCATCCAATAGGTAATTGCACTATTTTCTTTTCTTTTGTTCTTACTTGCTTGTTTACTGCATACAAAATATTTCATATCATTAAGGTGATTTATTCATTCACGGACATTCTAAATATTACCCACCCACATAGGTATTATAAAATAATACGAATACCAATAAGATGAAACAGGTTGCGGAGGTCTCTAGTGATAAAAAATATTTTTAGAGAACACAACGATAACTAATGAAGATGCTTTACTGCAAAAACGTCTCTCTTTTTCCCACTCGCATCTCGAAAGAGACTGTTTCAAGGCAAAACGTTAAGAGATAGTTTTGCTGAACTATTAAACTCCTCTCGGCGTTGATATTCTTTGTAAAAAAAAAAGAAAGGAAAGAAAATGTATTGATGCGATGTAGCTAGTTGATGATTAGTTTAAAGCTTTGTAGATATTTAGAGTGATTGGATTCTTTCCAACAATGTTCGTCGTTTTGATATTGGAAGTGCTTGCGAGCTTTGTCTTGTTATTTTATGCTTCTCCAAATGATGTACTGTAAGATGTTGAAAAAAAGAGAAAAAAAAATGAAAAAAGTAAAGATGTCATAACAATAAGGTGGAGCCAAGGTATGTTACTGATCTATCCATGAAATATTGCTTGACGTGTCCATGTATTCAATCCAAATTTGAGCCCATTTTCACTCGGCGGACGACCAGCATGAAGTGTCAACCGATCATTATTTTCATTTTCATCAACATTAAACCAAAATATGCTATTTCCTGGTATTGGTCGAAATCGAAGACCATATTGTTCTGCCTCGTCATCACACATCAAAAATTGACAAAAACGTGAATGTAATGTGTGATTGTATTTGACCTCAATGAATTCTGTTTCACCTTTGGTACAATTCGCAGATAAATAAGTAAAAAATGTTGTTATTCGTTGACCACCTTTATTGAGATTATTTTCATCGGTGAACCAATCAAAATGAGGATTAAACTTAAACAATTAGAGAAAACTGTGTGTGATCATTTGCTTATTTTCGTTTAGATCTCTTACGAATTGATTAGATTGGTATTTAACAACTTGTAGTGGTTCAATTTGCAATGGATTGATATTACCTTGAAATGCAGCAAATCGTTTCTCAATACATTCAAGAATTGGACTTTGAGAACGTTGTAGAAAAGCAGTGCTTGATACACGACTGTTGTCGTCGACTGCCGGTGATCCGTCGTTGTTAATGACTTTCGAATATTGAAAATGTGGATCACTAGAATAAAAAAAAGTATTTGAAATTACACAAGATTAGACTGTTTTATGTAGACACATTCATTTTTAAAGAGGTTCAGAGTACGGTTATTTTCGAGGGAGATCGTCGAAAGTAGATAAGACGGTGAAGATGTGCCGAGTATTTTTCCCTACTGACTTCTTCTCATAACAGAATCATTCGACAGAGAATTGAACTCCACATCAAACGCATTTTATTCGCTTCCAAGACAATGACTGTATGGATTCGAAATGAGCCGTACCACTACAGTCAGTAAATTGAAGATGAGCAGGTCAAATCTTGTTCATTAGATTTGAATAATGAAACTAGTTTTGGGGAAAGCAAAACCATCTACTTACGCCAACTTAAGCAAGTACTGCATTTCATTTGGTGTTAAAAAGTTTTTGATATAGATAATCAATGGTCGTCGAGATATGATTTCTATATTATACCGATGCTCTGGACATTCACGCTGATATTCAGATAAATTATAATTAAAATGCATATTACTTGGGTCATATGTGCTGATAGGTTTTGGCAATTCCTTCAGTTGTTGAATGTAACGATGAAAATCCGTTAAAAACCAAATAAATGTATTTAGACATGTATCAGTCAATTGTAGAAGAGAATATCGACATTGATATATATTAAGAACAGCACAAAAGACAAGTAATACGGGGATATAGCGCATCTTTTCTCGATGAATAATACACAATTAACGCACGTAGAATATATATGTATTTGATTTACCTATAGATGCGTGAAACGCAGCGTATTTTATGATAAATAGGAAATATATTGTCATTTAACATCGAAGGGCAAATAGACAGAAAACGATTTTTTCGTTCTATCGTTTTGAATAGCATGTGTACAAGTGAAGCGATGCATGGGATTGTTCTCACAATACGTGATCCTACCTAAAGGAAATGAAAATGACATAAGTATATTATTCTAAGTAACGATGTGCGACGTTAACTGATAAAGTTTTGTCCCATTGGATCTTCTCTCAGTCGACGACGTCTATGATGGGATATTTGAGCCCGTTGGTAACACAGTCTGAGAGTGATTAAATTCTTCACTCGTAAACACTACATCATTCTCGCCCTGCAGGCCGTGTTTCAAGAGAGATTTACGCAACCCAAGTCAATGTTTGTTCGCACAGTAAGAACCACTGGGAAAGTTGTTTTTTGTAACAAAGCTTTCATTTATGTAACATTGATAGATGTCACTATAAAAACAAACCAATAGAAAGAATAGAGATCTGTTGCCAAAAATTTTTGATGGCCCTATTTAAATTACTTACATAGGGTTATGAAACAATACGTGGCCCAAAAGGTTCACAATTGAGCAGAGGTGAACGACGGCATGGCGCAGTTACATGAGTTCTCTTCCGTGATGAAGCATAGCTTATTTAACACGCACTCGACAGTATACAAAGATCTATTCCAAATCAAAACATCGTTGACCCACTATAGTCAACATTACGATGAAATTCTTGTATTTAATCGTGGTCACATATCTGAACAAGGATCTCATGAAAATTTGCTGGAACCAAAAGAGGAGTATTATCCATTATGTAAGGATGCTGAAAACTCTCGATGATGCCCGTAACTTTTGTACACTTATCGTCTCAAAACTCAAATACTAATAAAAGTTGTTACTTCGTGATGATCTTCATCAAATTAGGTAAACTGTACAAGTTTCTTTCAAAAAATCGATAGAGTTGACAATGACATTTCAGAATTGAAAAACAGTGATGTTTATTAGAAGTAAAGTGCAAAAGTACCATGTATCATTTCTAATAAACAATCAGATCTATTCCAGAAGTCCATTTTGATAAACTATATGTAAAAAAAAGTAAGCTATGTAATATTCATTCTTCTTTTCCTTCGTCCATTCCCGATGACAACTTTAATTACTCTGAATCGAGATGCTATCGTTTTTATCTATTTGATTCTCAGTATTTGTTGAATAATCTCTCATCCATCCATTCAACTGATGCGTATCTTTTTTTAACATCGTAATTTCAAAATAAATAAGGAGCTGTTTATTACGCGAAGTGTCTTCCGCATCAGCCTGGTTATATCCAACCCGAAAGGTGAGAACAAGATCATCACACCCCAAATCACCCGAGAGTGTTGAAAAATTGTTATTATTCAACAACAAAAAAGGCGTGAGTCGTTAAATATCGATTATTTTTATCCGTTCTCTCCTCTTCAAAATTATTCTATCGTAATAAAAAGACAAGAGCTCCACATAGTACGTCTATCTCAATATTTAGTCAAAATATGTACTTTTTGTTGCGTATTTCATTATATTATATGATCAAATTAGAAATATTCCGATTCAATGAGAAAAATAATAGAGCATATAAACAGTTTTAGTTATTTTCAGGCATCAACGAGAATGACGGCTAAATTTTGCCCATTTCCGTTGTTCTGCAGCCAAAAACTCACATCGTAGGTTCGGCCACCCACAATGGGAAATGATTGAATTAAGTAAGTAAGTCCACTCTGTGTTCCGTCTGTATAGTAACAATTACCTAAATGAGGAAAATCCCAACTAATTTGTGATAAAAATGGATAATTATTTTTATCTGTTGTTAAACGACACTGTGAATAGGACATCGTCAGATTATTTGATTCAAAACTACCGTCTAAATTCGTTGAATCACTTGTTTTTGTATATGTATCGAAAGCGACAATATCATCTAGGCCCCAGAAATCGGTTTGATGTTGAAAGCCAAAAGCAAGTGTCAATTTGGTCGAAATCACACTTGAACTGATGGAATAACTAAATTGTCGATAATCAAACATATCTTGATTAGTTAAAGTTAACAATAACGTCGGATTTTGCATATTTGTTGTACATTGATTATAAATATACGCTATAGAAAGTATTCCCTGAGAAATGAAGAAGAAAAAAAAAGTTTTATTTCTTTACCTGTTAAATCATTTGATGATAGAGCAGCTTGAGCTAGAAAAAAATTCAGATGAATCCGTCTGAATGAAGATGAGAAACTGACCTTGGCGTTGTAAAACAGTGTAAACGACTGATATGACAATAACCACTATTATAACGATGATCGCTGCCGCTCCAAGCACGATCTTTTCCGCACTGTCCATTACGGACGTAACTTTCTTTATAACCAACATAATTATTACAAATCTCAACGAAGATGCAAAGAAAAATGACGAGAAAAAAAAACAGCGTTTTTCGATAAATTATGTCATTTATTTCGTATTTTTCTTTTTGGACTAATCATCATACCTGTGTATATTTCGTAAAGAGTCATCGTTGATAAAAACATTTTCAATCTCGTAACGAACGAACATGGTCGAAACAGCAGAAGCAACGTGAGTATTTCTCAATCAATCACTCTCATTTCGATGAATTCTTTCGTAGAACCAAACGGCGATTTGTTCTCACATGGTCTGTTTTGCTCTCTTGGGGATGTGCCTTCTTAATCGCACTTGTCTCCGTCATTGTTATTCCGATTTTGTATACGAATAAAAAATCCAATCAAGCTGCAGATGCAGGAGTTGTTCTGCGTTGGAATACAAAGGGTAGAATTGTTGCCGGTACTTTAAATGAGGAAGGGTCGGGTGCTCGGCAACTTTTTCATCCGATTGGTTTGGCATTTGACTCATCCGACACACTTTATGTTGCCGATTATGAAAATAATCGAGTTCAAAAATGGTCAATGAATTCAACGACTGGTGGCACAACAGTTGCTGGACAAGCAACTGCAATTATGGGTGTCAATTCAACAATGTTTCATTATCCTACTGACGTACTTCTTCATCCGAATGGTGATCTATACGTATCAGATCGGTATAACAATCGAGTCCAATTATGGGCCAGTGGTGCATTGGAGGGAAAGACTATCGCCGGCACAGGTAAATAAGTGAAAACTAGAAATAGATACTTTTTATTGGAAGATTTTTTAAGGGCGGGCAGGAACTGAAAATTATGAATTGAATAATCCATGGGGTCTTGCATACAAATATGAGACGAAAACATTGTTCATATCCGACTGTTATAATAACCGTGTAGTTGCATATCCATCAGGTTCTTCGAATGGTACAGTTGTAGCTGGTGGAAATATTCAAGGAAAAACACCGACACAATTATTTTTTCCTACTGGAATCTATTTTGATTCGTTAACAGATAGTCTTCTCATTGCCAACTGGGGTGGAAATAACATTGTTCGATGGGTGTTAGGTGCAAGTAATTGGACTCTGATCGTGGGAAGTGCTATTGGAGAATCTGGTAGTGGACCAACATTTCTCAATGGGCCTTATGATGTGACACTTGATCCTTATCGAAATGTCTATGTTGTTGATAATGCAAATTTTCGTATACAAATGTTCAAACCTGATGAAATAAACGGCACTACGCTTGCAGGCTCAACTGGAAGAACTGGAAATAGTTATGGATTATTAAATAGTCCATATACAGTGGCTTTTGACAGTCAACTGAATTTGTATGTAGCAGACACGTTTAACAGTAGAGTTTTACGATTTACACGATATTAATTTTTTTTATTAATAAAAATAAAAGTTTTAGTTCAGTTCTTTAAGAGTTAATTTAAAGCTTTTGCACAACTATCCGCAGCACCATCTGCACCATTTCCCCACCAATGAGGAAAAGCAACTTTTTGATTGTTCAATGCGATATTGACAATAATCAATGTAAGATTAACACCTAAATCCAATGCGCCAGAAGTTAAATAAATATGTCGTTGACTCCATGTATATTTACCATAGGTAAAATACACAGTAAAAGCGATGACAAGCCAAGTAAAAAGTGCGCCACCCGAAACAATTGCAGGAAGCCAGCCGATTGTAATCAAAATCAAAGGCCAATGTATACTTTTCATCCATGATAATTTTGGCCAACGTGATAAATACCAGCCCGGAATCGGTAGAATTGCACCAGCAACAAACGCCCAAAGTAAACTTTGGTTCGCAGAATTTTTGCCACTGAAAAATCCGACATAATCATTTAATAAATTCCAGCCGAGCTGTGTGTTGTTAAACAATGACCAGTTCGTTCCCACTTGCCCTTTTCGAACATACATATATCGTATGCCAATACTAAATGTTGAACAGACGAATCCGCCGAGACATTGAGCAGCAAAAAGTGGGCGCGGACCGATTTTGAGATAATGAGCCAATTTCATATCTTGAGTCAAAGCGAGTGTCTGCACAAAGACTACATAACTCAGTGCTATGAATGTATAGATCTTTCTTGCCGATGTTCCGAAAGGTAAGGATTGAATTGTAAGAATACAAATGTAATAAACCGATAAGTTATGAAGAAGTTGACCAGTGATCGATGAAACTAAACCGAATGGAAGAACAAAAACTGCGCCGATGAAAATCGAAAGCAACACCCAGTACCAATTTAACCAACCAGCGTGATCACAAGTAACACATGCGATGATCAAAGCTGCAGCACACACTTCCAAATAGCACCAATCAGGTACAGGTGGATAAAGCGATATTAATCGAGCGTGCATATCATTACCCATGTTTCCTAATTTTTTCGTTCGAAGTTGTTTCCAAATATCAATTCCATTGAATAGAATCGCATGCATAAAAACCGCTGATACACAAGCAAATGAAGTAAATGCTGTGACAAGACTGACCGCTGTAAAATTTCGCGAAACAACACCACCGATCGGTTTACTTCTGACATCACGAACATTTGCTCCGTAAACAATCGGAATGACGATCCAAACAATCAAAATAAACCCGAATGCAATGTTAAATATCGCCCAACTTGGTAAAATCAATGGTGAGCCAAGATATTGTGTTACTTCATACCAATCGAGTGTGAGACCACCACCGGCTACAGCAAGACCACGAACAGCTGTCAATTGAGCAAGAGCATTGTTTTCCGGACTAATCATACACATCCACGAGAAATGACGAAGAATTGGCATAATGTATAATGGAAGCCATTCGTAAATAAAGACAACACCGACAATAGCGAAGAAATAGAGCAATCGATTGTGAGCAAAATGACTTCGCCAGCTGCGAGTTTGGGAACTATTTTGAATCCTTTCCGATGCGTTGATTTTTCGATCGTGCAATGATCGTAGAAGAGCCATTAATGGAAAATTTTGTGGCCAAATGACATCTGCGGGCCACACCAAAAAGCGCCGCAGAACACCTTCGAACAAAACGATATGCAAAATACAAAATCGGATTTTTTTTATTTACCTGCAAGTCCAAAACCAAGAAATTGAAGTGCAAGAACAAAGAAGAAATAATACGGGAAGCTAAGATTATCTCTTTCCAATACCTTCAGCGTCGTCAAAGTCGCATAAGTAAATACGGAATAATACATCCACGCTGTATTTGCCATAACAAGGACAAATCCATGTTCTTTGGCCGTAAATGGTTTCGCTTTCGGTACAATCAATGTCCAAAGGTGGCCCAATGGGAAAACTAAGACAATTACCAGTATTGATGAAATAAATGATCCAGCAACTTGCACAGCTCCCCATTGATGAAAGAAAGACATACCAATGACGAAGATCAAACCTAACACAACACTACGCACTGTGCAACATGGCTCGTTAACATCGTCTTTGTTCGAACAGATTCCTCCGACCTCTTCAAACTGAGCCACTTCTGCTTCAATATAATCATAGGATGTTGGAGGTTTATACTGACCATCTTTTTCGAGATTTACCTTCGTCATACTATATATAAATCAAATAGAAAATAGGAATAAATCGTGTTCCTATCGTTTGCTTCGTCTTTAATTACATTTGTTTTTCTCTTTTCGAACTAGTCATCACTGCTCACGAAATTGCGAGAAAGAAAAAACAAAAATCGATCATGCATCCTCTATCGTTATTTATCGCGACTCATTTTTTTAAATCATCAGCCGTAAAGAAAATGCTCGGTAATATTCGAACAGCATTCAAAGGAAGAATTGAACTTAATACTCGGAAGACCGGAAGAACTACTCGGAATCGAACTGTACGAACTGCAGATCGTACGAGACGTCAAGGTCGATCAACAGCAGATAACAGTCAAGAAGATGTAACAGTCATCTGGTTAACAAGCGAGGTCGACAATGAAGAGGAACATCCATTGGTTCAGTCTCTTCGTATTGTCAGTACGGTTGTAAAGGTAGAATGGACGATTATTTGAGATATGCCATCATCTGCTTCGTTTCTTAGGTTTATAAAACTATCGAAGAAGTCATAGCATGTCTTCAATCAGCAAATGATGACAAATTTTTTCTAATTATTCACGGTGATGTCGATCATGTTCTCACTACGGTTGAACCATACAAACAAATCGATTCGATCTTTCTTTATACACATGAAATCCCTGAGCGAATGCCAACACGTCTCAAAGCACATTGTGTCGATGAAACTGAATTGGTCAGTAATGTAAAACAAGCACGATTTGAACTCGGTAAACAAGCAGCGGCCTTTTCCGTTTATAATCAAGCCGAAAAAGCCACTCGTGATCTGACTCGTGAAACCGGTTCTTTTCTCTTTTTTCAATTGTTTAAAACTGCTCTTCTCAGTATGACGAAAACCGAACAAGCTAAAACAATGATGATTTCTAAATGTCGTGATTATTATCGAGGAAATGAAGCTGAATTGGCCAACATCACTGAATTCGAAGAAACATACGAGTCGAGTGAAGCAATCCCGTGGTATACAAGAGAATCTTTCGTCTACAAATTGATCAACAAAGCTCTACGAACAGAAGATGTCGATGCTCTTTATCATTTTCGGTATTACATCGTTGATCTATGTGTGGAGTTAGATAAAAATTTTCAAGAACTCAAAGCAACGCGAACAGATCCGGTTTTACATCTTTATCGTGGCTTCAAAGCTTCACGAGAAGAAATTCGTAATTTTGAAAATAATATTGGAAATTTGATTTCAACGAATGGATTTTTATCCACTAGTAACGAGCGACAAGTGGCGTATGGGTTCGCGACGAAGCCAGTCAATCGACCGAATCTTCAACGAGTATTATTTGAATATAAAGTCGATATAACCGTTGTCAAGAAGATTATCGTTGCAGATATTCGCAAATACAGCGACTTTCCCGAAGAAGCAGAAATGCTCGTTGATTTAGGAGCGTCGTTTCAGATCGATTCGTGTACGTACAGTGAAGAAGAAGATCTTTGGTTCGTCACAGCCAGTGCATCAGATCAAGGTGCAGCAGCTGCTGAGGAATATATTGAATATCAAAAGGCTAAAATGGCAGAATCAAATATGGTCCTTATGTTTGGTCATTTACTTGTCGAAATGGGTGAATATATCAAAGCAGAAAAGTATTTTTATGCCATTTTATATTCATCGAATCCAAATGATGAAGAAATCGCCTGTATTTACCATAACATTGGCCGAGCTCATCGTCGCAAAGGCGAATTCGATCGTGCACTTCAATGTTTCAATCGTTCGTATCAAACACATTTAACAGCTCGACCACCTCGACTAATGAGTGCAGCGAAAACAATCAATGCAATTGGAATTCTCTACATCGAACAAGGAGATATTCACAAAGCACAAGAATCGTTTGAAAGAGCACTGAAATTATATACAAGAACAGTTAATCGACACCATCCGGATATTGGCGGAACACTTGTTAATTTGGGAAATATCTTTTGTCAACAGGGTGATTATGATCAAGCATCGATTTATTTTAAACGAGCAGAGAAAATCTTTCAACGACGTTTACCATCGAATCATCCAAATCTTGCGCTTAGTTTAAACAATTTTGGTAATTTACATTATCAAAAGAACGAGTACGAACAAGCAATGAATGCTTTCAAAATAGCTCACGAATTGAAAGAAAAAATATTACCACCTGATCATCCAGATTTAGCTGGAGGTGCATATAATCTTGCTGTTTTGCATACGATTCATAATGAACATGAACTTGCTAATCAATATTTCGAAAAATCAAACAATTGCACTTTGCCTGAATCGCATCCGTTCAGACAAATGCTCAAAAGTAATACAATCTTACGAGAATCGACAACAGACACGCAAGTGGAAGACATTGAAAATGAAGAACCTACTGAGTATCCAATTTTACGATTGTAAACAAGTTTTTTTTCCGAACTGAATAAAATGTAAAACATTGAAAAGTAGGTTTTAAAAAAAGAACTACAGAAAATGACAACGTTTATGTTTGTGTAGTATTTCTTAATTTTGTATAATGTTCGCGTGGTAACAAAGAACATGTGATATTTCCATGTGCAAATGTAAAGATTGGTTTATTCGAACTAATATAAGGATTTGAACCCGTTTGAAAATAAGTATATGTAACTTGACCCGTACAAATTGTTGAATCATTGGCAGAAAAATTTAAATAATAATCATGACGAGATATACGATCCATTGTTGGAAGAATAGCTGTTTCATCACTTTTGAAAAGATAACCAACACTTTTCAGATAAACCGAACTTGTATTTCCGCATTGATATTGTCCTATAAGTGTACTGACTTTCAAATTCAAACCAAGTTCAGCTTCGTTCATTCCCATAGCGATACTTATCACTTCATATGATAAGCCTTTGGGTAATAATGTGATCATACTGTAAAAAGATTTGTAATTTGGAAATGTTGTTGTTACTTGATAAATATTGTTTTCATAAGAAACACAATTATTTACTTGCCCATTAGTAGAAAATACAATGATCAACACCACAAAGATGATTATGGTGTATTTCAGCATTTTTGTGACGAATTTCTTGAATGAAAAAAGTGTTTTGTTTTTGTTATTTACTTCACAAGGATACGATTTCTTTTTAATGACATAAAATAATGATAGTCGATCGAAAACGATGAGAGAAAAACAAGTGAACTAATCATGAAGTGACTCACTTTCGTTTGTATTTACCTTTTCATATTTCTCTCTTCTAATATATTATCATTCATCATTATGCGCAGGCAATTGATCGTTTCGTTGCTTTTATCGTTTGCAATAACGATCGATGGAGGGATTGTTAATTGTTCAGCGTTCGAAAATATCATCTATCAAGTCACAACAGCTTTTCCTGATTTCAAACCATATTTTATGCTGTTAACATTGTTATCCGGTGGAGTTTTTTTCGAAGAAACTAATATCCAAAATGGTCAAAGTTCGGCTGAACTTGGTGTTCGTCTTGAATTCGGTACTCGAACAGGATATTACGAGTGCATCGATGAAAATACTATTGAATTAACTGATTTCGGTTATATATTTCGAACTAGTAAACTTCCCGCATTAGGAGGTAACGATGCTTTTATTATTCAAACGTATCATTTTTATTTTCAAAATACTTCTTATGACAAATGTACGGGATATATTCAATCAGCATATTTTACCACTGGCCAAGATCCATTCGACCCTCAAAATATTCCGATTTACACAGAAGCTGATCGAAATTTAACTTGTGAACTTTTAAGTGGAAGACATTATCGTTGGCCACCCAATACATAAATTGGGATTTATAAAGAAAATTTTCTAAATATGAACTTTTTTTAAAGGAAAATAAAACTTATTTCAATTCTTCTTTTGTAGATAAATCTTTTTTTGATCATGCGAAAAATTACTATCGTTTTGTTATTGTTCTCACTATGTGGGATTCTCGTTTGTGAAGATAGTGACTGTGCGTTATTTACAAACAAAATTTATCAAGTAAAAACTCGTTTTTATACATATGCGCCATTTTATTTTCTCATGTTATTTTTACCTGATGGAATTGTTTATGAAATCAGTAACATAGCCAATGGTTTAAATGCTGACACACTTGGTCAAAATTTACAATTTGCTCCTCATGTTGGCTTTTATGAATGTTTGAATTCAACAACTGTTCATTTGACTGATTTTGGTTATATTTTCAAAAGTAATGAAGTCGAAGTTTTAACCAGTAACGGGCATTTCGCATTTCACGATTATTTTTTCAATTTCGAAAGTGGTACAAATCAAAATTGTATTGGTACACTTCGGTACAAATTTTACGAAACGGGAACAAATCCGTTCGATATCACAAATCTTCCAGTATTCACTAGTGCACCTGGCCAAGTGACATGCAGTTTAGTGAGCACCGATGACTGAAATTCGTCTTTTCTTTTGAGGAACACTGAAAATTTGTTCAAACAAAAATAAAATAAAAAGTCATGTGACATGTTTTTAATAACACAAGAGCTTTTGTACGCGATAATTGCCTGAATATTTGTTTATCGAACGCTAATGAATGTGGATAACTGAGTGCCAGTGGACTGGAATGTGATACACTAGTTGTACCAACAATAGTCGTAGTATTTTTCGAACCGGAAAGAAATAATTGAAGTCGATGGTTATAGGTATCAGCTACATAAATATTCCCCGAAGTATCGAGGATAACATCAGATGGATTATAACGTAAAGTTGATTTACTGCTAGATTCAGCAGTCAAACTTCAGCGACAAGTGTCCAACAATGATCACCAATGACCCAACGAATAATGTTATTCGCAGCAAAATTACTTATGTAGAGACTTTTTGTTGCTAAATCACAATAAATTCCATGTGGACAAAATAATTGTGTTATATCTTTCCCTGCACCATTTTCACCAGCAACTATTGTTCCACTCAATGATCCAAGTTCATTTTTCTTACCTGTCCCAGCTACAGTCGTTAATGATGAATTGTTTGTCGTCCATAATTATACTCGATGACTTGCACTATCAGCTCCGGAAATATTTCCAGTTGAATCAACAGCTACATCAGTCAGTAGATTCAGTGTTGTTGACGTGTTTGTTGAGTTTATATTAGCTTTACCAACAATTGTTGTTAAATTCAGTGCATTAGAAATCTTTTTCTGTATGCGACTATTTTCATAATCAGCAATGAACAATGTACTTGATGCATCCAATGTTATACCAGTACAAAAAGAAAGTGCCCGAGCATCGGCATCCGGTTGACTTGACAAACCGGTGGTACTTGTAGCTTTTATACTCCAACGAAGCGAAGATAAATCAACTGAAAGATGGTTTTGTCAGAAGTTTATAACGAGGATGTGATACTCACTGGTGCCTGATGTCGAATCATTGGTGATCGTTGCGTTGCTATTTTATAAAAGCACAGATTTTTCGTTTTCATCCCGTGTTAAATTACGATAATGAAGAAAATCCTACTTGGTTCTGTGAGACAAACAGTTTGAACAGCGATTATAATAGCTATGATACCAAGTAAGATAAGTCCAGCTGTTGCTCTCATCGTTTTGGGCATTCTAGACAACGAATAATTCCTAATGAAAACCGATTTGAATTTCCAATGCAATTCAGAATATAGAAGAACCTCTCCACCATTTTGATTTTGTTTTTTTTTCATTTGACTGTTATCATTGGAAGATATGAGTGGACCTAGAGAAATCGATGCGCACAAAGTTTATATCAGATCTGGATGTTCTTCTCGGAAAATTTCTGCATCATCATCGTTGTTATTGACTGATTTATGATCAGTATCTAAATTTGTCATCGCAATGTGAAAAATAATGTATCCACATTAGGTCTAATTGCAACTTTAAAAAAAGCAACGAGTTCTATACGTTAATAAGTGACGAACTCTTCTCATTTATCTGCTTATCGATCTATCAAAATCGAATGCTTTGATATTTTTTGTCGTTTGATAGTAATTCTGATCGATACACTAGTTAACCTGTTTGAATTGAAAAAATGGATGATTAGTGCATTATTTATTGACATAAAAAACATTTTCTATTCATAATCGAATATTACTTTCTAACGATTTGTTTATCCTTTCCTCTCCATATTTCGAACACGTTCTCACCTTTTCTGTTCCGTTTAATATAATTTCTTTCTTCGTAATTATAATTCAAATAAAACCTCTTGAGCCATTTGAAAGTCATTGGTTATAATTATCTATCTTATCCAAAAAGAAAACGAAATACAAATTTGTTGGAATTGTATGAAATTATAGGAAGAAAGTGAAATAATGAGTGATATCTCCTTCAAAACGAAAGAAAATGAACATCATTATATCCTCATGTGTATAAGTTTAAACGTCTAGTGGTAGATATGTACCTTTTTTCTGAGATGGACTGAAAAATGTCTTGCCTAACTGTGAAATTTCATTTGAACGCGTCTGAATCCGAAACATGTTTACATGGCGATCGATCACTCCGATAGTTTATGGCTATATTACTATTCTTTTCCGCATGAAAATTGCAAATGTTAGAAAATATTGTGAAAAAGGTGTATAACGTCGGCAACTTTTCGAAACTCTTTAATATTTATATTCAAGGACATATTTTGGCGACGGACTAATTTCTAAGAGAGATTTTTTTTATCCATTGATTCAATCTATGAGCAATGGTCTGTTGAGTTGTGAAAATTTCCATTTTCGACAGATTTTGGAAAGTAATTGAGGTTGATTAAGCCCGTAGATCTACTCATATTTAGCTCATACTATTCCAAGATGGCATTCGCAGTACCTATAATAAACAAGAAATGTCTTCAAAATCGGCCGATGCTTGAAAAGCCAATGACATCATCAGCTTCGTGTTCAAAGTATTTTACTTTTCAGCTGCTTATGTAGAATGCATTTTGAAAGGTGATGTTCTTATTAGCAGAAATATTCAAGGTAATGAAGTAGCATATCAATTACACCACTGGCCGCACAGCGATAAATGCAGTCCTGGATTAATGGTCTGCCTTTCTTTAAGTTGACTCTCAAGAGCAGCTGAGTGATGCACAATTGATCAAGGTAATGTATCTTATTTCAATACTTTTCTATTAACATGATATTTAGATTACGCGTACTTTCTGACGCTCGGACTCTGAGAGAATATCTTCATATGCAGTAAAAAAGGAAGAGTAAAAAATAGGGCAGAAGAAAGTTATAGGAGGAAGTCAGGTGAGCGAAGTATCTTAGTCCCTAAAATTTAACGCAAAAGAGTTTCTAGTTGAAAGAAAAACAGCGGTACTTGATATATGGATCTCCGCCACTGTGAACTTGATAATAAGAGATCCGCAATGAGAACGGCTTTACTGGTTGAGACAAGCGTTACTTCATATATCTTTCACATACAATTCTCATCGATGTGAATGAAACACATGATTTTTAAATTGATAGACCATATTAAATTCAAACGGGGCAAATGTCGGCACTATGTCAATTCGTCGCGACTTAATGAAAGTAAGAGAGAGAGAATCAGAGACAAAAACATCTGTAATCCAATTACACAACTCTGTAAAGACTTGTTAGAGTCTATTGAACAACTTGAGAGGCTCAATGAAGTCGTATCAAATCTAACGTATATCAAAACTGTAATTATTTACTGAAAATAGCGGTGATACCAGACTTTTATTCGAAGAGGAGCTCAGTGTTCCCCAAACCTCCAGAAAAATTACGAGAGGACTTAGGGTTCCGAGTCTTAGGTTTTGCATGGCCTTTGAGACTGACTCACAAAATCATAGGTTTTAAAAGAAACTTTGAGAAAAGCTATCCGTGTACTGATTCCCTTGTTGTTGTCACTAAAGCTTTGTGGAAAGGGTTTTCCAGAGCCCATTTTGTCGAGTATCGAGAATCTTGTCTGCATTCAGTTTGCCGACACAGTGAATTTCATGTATCTCATACGAAAACAGTTGTCGAATACTTCACCTACATCAGAGCCAACAATTTCCTTTCATCTTGTCACCTCAACTTTTGTACCGTACTCTTCCTAATCACTACAGAAACTATTGATAACTTTTATCCATATTCGAAAATATCAAATACGACCGAATCCTTCTTCAAAAGAGTTCTCTGCAAAATGACGACATTCGATTCGACAAACACGCAGGCGATATTTTACTTAATCGATTGTAAGGTTTAGAAAACTCGGCTCAGAAGCTGTGAACCAAATTCCATTTCAGTTCTGTTACAGATTCCAGTAACAATCTTTAAGGAGCTGTGTGATTGGATTACAGATGTTTTTGTCTCTGATTCTCTCTCTCTTACTTTCATTAAGTCGCGACGAATTGATCGGCCACCGTGTGAAAAAAAGAAAATATGTCACGTAATGACTACGAACTTAAACTCGATTTAAAAAATGTTCTTATTCGACCTGAGCGCTCGACAAATTTGAGTCGTACAGATGTGAATCTTTACTGACAATACCAATATTTGCATAGCAAGAGAACATATGCGAGTATTCCCATGGTCGAAGCAAACATCCACAATATCAGCGCAATTATCAAACGTAAATACGCCATTTTCTTAACTATATTCATATTATATTGTTCAGAACTATAATCATCAACGCTCGTGTTTTGAGAGCGAGCGAGAGTGACATTGCTGTGAAACCATGATATACTCATCGTCAGCCTGAAGATTCTTGTATTTCTGCAATAAAATCTCACTAGTAACTATGCATTCTTTCAACTACGTAGTTACTTTCGTCATATCCACCAAATAACACCGATCAGACCCTAATAATCAAAATATTGTCCAATATAATAGCATATGAGGATCCAATAGTACCCTCTAATAACTCTACATAAAAAGGTCCTGAGAAAGGATATGTGACAACTCCAACTTTGCACCACAGTGAAATCATGTTTATACATATACAAACAGTAGAATGTATTTAAATACTAATTAATATTTCATTACTATACTATATTTTATAATGAAAGTGAAAGTCGTGTTTGTAAGACAATTTCACCTTCTCTTTCTGTTTGATTTGATTGAACAAACAGTTACACAAAATACGAATTTTATACAAATGACTTTGCTACCCGATCGACAGTTTCAATGTGCAAACACGAGCTGTTTATCATTTGTCACAACGTACAAACAAAGTGTTCATAAATCAACATCAAGATGTGAAATATTTGAATATCTACCAAATTTGAATGATAATATGTTAACTAACATAGATACTTATTCGATGAAAGTCAATACCGAATCACGATTATCAAAAGATCAGTATATATGTATCTTGAGTATGTGAAGAATGATCAAAGTCTCACACTCTCAAGGTTCCTTTGCTTATGAACTATTCCTTCGGTCACTCGCCTTTTAAAATATAGTTTTTCTGTAATATCCGAAAAATCTTCGCATAAATATATATTCACCTTATTGCTTATCGATTAAATAGAAATATTTTTATCCCATTATCGACATTCTTTATGCATTCAGCAAAATTCGTCATCCACTTGTTTCCTATGTACACAGATTAATCAATTGTTAAACACACTCCTTCCCATGAAAATAGAGTAATTGACTAACCTTATTAGATGATAAATGTTATATATTTGATAAATCACACTAAATGCAAAAAATAAGTTTTAGTTTAGTTTTCTTCCAACTTTTTATTCATCCTGTCCAAGGCATCACTCTCCTCTTCATACGAATATTCTACTGAATTTAGAGCTCGTTTTAGAATGAATGGCACAGTTATCGCTGTACTTACATACGGTAATATCAAATATCTTCAATCTCTTGAAATAGACCAAAAAAAGTCAATTTACATTAAGAATGATTACGGCTGAATTCTAAAACTGAGTGTATAATAAATACTTATTTTAGTAAAGATGAAACGGTGGTTTTTTTTTATTGAAAAATCTCCTCTACTTTCGAAGCCTAGTCGTAATGTCTCATCGACAATCTTGTAGAAATCCCAGAAATTTAGCAGATTTGACAACTCTGTTAACTATAGTGATGACTTGCTAAACTCAATATTATATCACAACAACTAGTCAATTGTAAGGCCGTTGAATAATATATATTACGTAGAGAAGCGAAGACATTCTTTTTTTCTGCACGATAACCTTGTTGTTTATTTATACACTCAATGATAAGAATTCTTCGTGTACTGATAACAATCAACGTACATACATACTTTTAACCTTTCAAATTCATTTCTTTTAAATACTGCACTTGTTGCATAGCATATCAGTTTCGATTAAAATGAGTATTGAAGTCGTTCAACGTGTGCAAGTGCCTTCAGGTACTATATCAACTACACATTATGTTCAAAATCGTGCTCCACTGCAGCCCGTTCCTTTTCAAAAACTGCCACCAGGTGCGGTGAGAGCCGATGGTTGGTTGCTTGGTCAATTGAAACTACAAATTAATGGTTTAAATGGGAAACTCTACGAAATTTCCGATTATTTAGTTTATGATAATTGTGGTTGGATTGATCCGACCAAAATGGCGTGGGAAGAAATGCCTTATTGGCTGAGAGGATTTGCTGAACTTGCTTTTGTCACTGGCGATGCAGATACTATGTCGATCGCTAATCGTTGGATGGATGGAGTTTTACGTACACAACAATCTGATGGATGGTTCGGTCCAAATTACATGCGAACATCACTTGATGGCGTTCCTGATCTATGGCCAGCAATGTTATTCTCAAATATTTTCCGTTCATTGTATGAGTGTACCAATGATGCCCGTGTTATACCATTTCTTTTGAACTGGTTTCAATTTGTTGCTAAAGCTCCTGATGATTCATTCACCCGTGGTTGGGGTGCAACTCGATGGGCGGAGAACATCGACAACATCATTTGGTTATNAAATTTGAATAAGTTCTGAGGCAGAAATCAGCTTCGGTAACTCTTTTGCATAAAGAGCTATAATTGAAGTTGTCGTTTTGTGCGATGCACGGCTGGAAAAATTAGGACCGCCAGCATACAATCTTGGAGTCTATTGATTTTTCTATTTGCTGCAGCTTTTCAACACGTCAGGCATTCGACATAGATATTTCTTATTTTGCAGCGGGTACGCCCGCTAGTATTCATATAATTATGCCATCTACGATACTAATTCAATGACTCACAGAGGGCAATTTGTAAATTATTCCTTGTACACACATTTGAAAAGTGAAACTTTCACATAAAAAATTGTTGTTCGGCTACAAAATTCATTAAGGACATTGTGATGATGTACTTAAACCAAACTGAAAATTATATGAATCGATATCATACACCGAACAACACTTTAATGTTCAATGCTGTATAGTAGGATCACCTCTCAGAACTATCACTGTGAACTTTGCATTTGCTTCTATAAAAGATTCCCGCACAGGCTGATTGTTTTGGATATGTTATTGAAAAAGATGAAATAACGTCATTGAGGCGAAACGAAGAAAAAAAATATATCAACGCTTTATTTATTTTGTCTCTTTGTATCCACATTGCAAAAAAGAAACCATAAATGACATCATTTACGATATTCTTGAGGGTATAAGTAAAATCGATGTAAAATATGCTACTTTCACCGTCGTTTTCCGATTTTTTTCATCACTAATTCAATTCTAGATAGTTTAGTGTAAAAGAAAGAAAATATGTCACGTAATGACTACGAACTCAAACTCGATTTAAAAAATTTTCTTATTCGACCTCGAGCGTTCGACAAATTTGAATCGTGCAGATGTAAATCTTTACTGACAATACCAATATCTGCATAGCAAGAGATCATATGCAAGTATTCCCATGGTTGAAGCAAAGATCCACAATGTCGACAGCGCAATTATCAAACGTAAATATACCACTTTCTTAACTATATATTCATATTATATTGTTCAAAGCTATAATCATCAACGCTCGTGTTTTGAGAGCGAGCGAGAGTGGCATTGCTGTGAAACCATGATACACTCATCGTCAGCTCGAAGATTCTTCTATTTCTTCAATAAAATCTTACTAGTAACTATGCATCCTTTCAACTACGTAGTTACTTTTGTCATACCCACCAAATAACACCGAGCAGGTCATAATAATCAAAATATTGTCCAATACAATAGCATATGAGGATACAATAGTATCCTCGAATATCAGACTTCAACACCCACGGGTTCTCATATAATGATGCGTAAAGTTTATCGATGAAAACGACATCGCTGAACGTGTGTATATCTGTTAATCTTACTCATCAATCCGATCACGCTCAGTTTCACCATTGATTAATTTAGCCATACTCCACCTTTGATTGGTGGGTTTTGAAAATTCGAGAAATTTTTTCTAGATGATCTTTGACTTACCACAAACAAACCATTTTCACTTTTTTCGCACACATTTACTCCTCCTTTAGTCAAATGAATAACAGTAAAGTGTTCTCAAAGATCGTATTTCCAGAAATAAAATTTACTCACCAGTCACTCTTTCCTTTCTTGAACTCCATTAGAATCGGCTTTAAGCATCAATGATAGAACGAAAGAATGACTGTTATTTTTTTCATTTCTACTAATTAGAACATGGCAACTAAAGAGGCATAAGAAGTGGAATACACTTGTATTGTTGAAGAACAAACTTTGTTCGATATACGTATTCCTTCGGTCTCTCATCTTTTAAAATATTGTTTTTCTGTAATATCCGAAAAATCTTTGTATTAATATATAGTCACCTTATTGATTAGCGATTAAATAGAAATATTTTTATCCCATCATCGACATCATTTATACATTGGGCTAAATTCCCCATCCACTTGTTACCTATGTGCACAGATTAATCAATTGTTAAACACACTCGTTCCCATGAAAATAGAGTAATTGACTAACCTTATTAGATGATAAATGTTATATATTTGATAAATCATACTAAATGCAAAAAATAAGTTTTTGTTTAGTATTCTTCAACTTTTTATTCATTCTGTTCAAGACATCACTCTTCTCTTCACGAATATTCTACTGAATTTAGAGCTCATTTTAGAATAAGTGACACAGTTATCGCTGCACTTGTATACGGTAATACCAAATATCTTCAATCTCTTGAAATAGATTTTTAAAAAAGTCAATTTACATTAAGAATAGTTGCGACTAAATTGTAAAATCGGGTCTATAATCAATACTGATTTTAGCAAAGATGTAACGATGAGATTTTTTGGTTGAAAAATCTCCTACTTCCAAGACTAGTCGTAATGTCTCATCGACAATCTTGTAGAAATTCCAGAAATTTAGCAGATTTGAGAACTCTATTAACTATAGTGATGACTTATTAAATTCAATATTATATCACAACAACTAGTCAATTTTAAGAACGTCGAATAATATTACGTAGAGAAGCGAAGACATTCTTTTTTTGCTGCACGATAACCTTGTTCTTTATTTATACATTCAATGATAAGATTCTTCGTTTACTGATAACAATCAACGTACATACATACTTTTAACCCTTTGAATTCATTTCTTTTAAATACTGCACTTGTTGCATACCATATCAGTTTCGATTAAAATGAGTATTGAAGTCGTTCAACGTGTGCAAGTGCCTTCAGGTGCTATATCAACTACACATTATGTTCAAAATCGTGCTCCATTGCAGCCCGTTCCTTTTCAAAAACTGCCGCCAGGTGCGGTAAAAGCCGATGGTTGGTTGCTTGGTCAATTGAAACTACAAATTAATGGCTTAAATGGGAAACTGTACGAAATTTCCGATTTTTTAGTTTATGATAATTGTGGTTGGATTGATCCGACAAAAGTGGCATGGGAAGAAATGCCTTATTGGCTGAGAGGATTTGCTGAACTTGCTTTTGTCACCGGCGACGCAGATACTTTGTCGATCGCCAATCGTTGGATGGATGGAGTTTTACGTACACAACAATCTGATGGATGGTTCGGTCCAAATTATATGCGAACATCACTTGATGGCGTTCCTGATCTATGGCCAGCAATGTTATTCTCAAATATTTTCCGTTCATTGTATGAGTGTACCAATGATGCTCGTGTTATACCATTTCTTTTGAACTGGTTTCAATTTGTTGCTAAAGCTCCTGATGATTCATTCACCCGTGGTTGGGGTGCAACTCGATGGGCGGAGAACATCGACAACATCATTTGGTTATACAATCGAACAAGTAATACTGATTGGTTACTTAATTTGATGCATCGAATTCATAAGGTTTCCGTTGATTGGGTTCATGCAACACCAACATTACACAATGTGAACTTCGCTCAAGGATTTCGTGAGCCCGCGTTTTATTCACTCGTTGCCAATCCACCTGATCCAACATTAGTTCAAGCTACTTATCAAAGATATGAAGACCTTGTTAATCAATACGGACAATTTCCAAGTGGAGGTGTCGCTGGTGATGAAATTTGTCGACCGAATCATACAGATCCTCGACAGGGTCTTGAAACCTGTGGTTTTGCTGAGTTTATGCACAGTTTTCATATGCTTATGCGAGTAACGGGCGATGGTTATTGGATCGATCGATGTGAATTAATTGGATTCAATTCTTTTCCTGCTACATTAGATCCATTTGTCGCGCGAGGAACACATTATATCACCTGTCCAAACTCGATTCAACTTGATGATGTTAAGAAAACTGTCTTTTATGATGACTGGTTTCCTCTACTTGCTTATAAACCAGGTTTTCATCAATATCGTTGTTGTGCTCACAACTATGGTATTGGATGGCCATATTACACTGAAGAAGCATGGTTAGCAACATATGACGGTGGTCTATGCGCTTCGTTGTACACGGCATGTCAAGTAACAGCATTAGTTGGAGAAAACACAGGTACAAAAATAACGATTATTGAACAAACTAATTATCCGTACGAAGAAAATATTCAATTTCGTTTACAATTACCTACATCAGTTCAATTTAAACTTTATTTACGAATACCGAATTGGTGTGATAAAGCACCAACGGTTTCCATCAACGGACAAGTTGTTTTTGATCGAAAAACACCTGATAATGGTTCATTCATTATTATTAATCGCCTTTGGAGTAATAACGATGTCGTTTTATTAACATTACCTTTAGATTTAACGATTAAAACATGGGTGCAAAATAAAAATTCAGTTTCGATTCATTATGGCCCTTTGACGTTTTCATTGGCAATCGACGAGCAATACAATCGGATTGGCGGGACGAATGAATGGCCAGAATATGAAGTTATAGCGAAGTCTAATTGGAATTACGGTTTGCTTCTCTCAAGTAGAGATCAATGGAAATTAAATCGAACGAAAAAGACAAACTATACAGAAAATATCTTCACTCAAGAAAACATTCCGATGAATATTCAAGTTCGGGCGCGTCGGATTCCACAATGGACAAAAGATCAAGAGAATGTTGTTGGAATTTTACCACAATCACCAGTTGAAAGTAAAGAAATCGATGAGACAGTTACACTAATACCTATGGGGGCTGCACGACTTCGTATTACTGCATTTCCTTCAATTGCTCAATAACTTCTTTGTATTAGAAATAAATATAACACATTGTGAAATATCGCTTAGACATAAAATTTTTAGGGTGATGAAGTAGATGCGATGTTTCTTTCCAATTATATAGTTTGAAAATCTTTCAAAACAAGTGAATTCTTTGATATTCTGTTTCACATTGGAATATTTTAATGGAAAAGACAACAAGATTTCATTTCTTGAAACAGTCTTAATTTAACGTCAGTTATCAAACGTTTTCTTCTCTTGAATAAGTACTTTCATCACATAGTGTGACAGAATCAAGGAGAGAAATGATGAATTCCTTCCTCTCGGGATTTTGATGGTACTCTTCGGATGTTTTCTGTACTCTCAGGATTCCAGTAAGATTTTCTAGATGTACATTATACTCTTTAATGTACTGCTTACATTCATAAATGGACTCTGTTTCGTTTCAAGGTCTTGTGTAACTCAAATATGTCCCATGCACTTAGATAATCAGTTGTAAAATAGGTATTTTTACGATGAAAAAAAAACAATTCTTAGACATCAGTAAACAACCAACAAGCAGTTTGTTTGTAGATGGAATTTTCCTGACCATCGATTCCGATGCGGAAGTAAGAGCTATATCTATAATGCAGGCGACACAGTATCGAATACTCTCATCACTTTCGTACTGAACTTTTTTTGGGTTTCTTTTCAAATTCATTAGAAACATTATCGAACTCTTGATTAACAATTTTTCGTATATTGTCATCAGAAAGATCTGTGGACAACAAATTTGAAACTAATTTTTTAATAGTAGTATTTTCTGCTGCCGTTTATCATGTTTCGAAAATTCAAGCTGATAGTCTATTTGATCTGTCTGACTTCGATTTTCGAGATCAGCTCAAATAGAAAGTTTACCAGCTAGCTTCAGAAATTGATTTGTTGTGAAGTTCACGACAGAAGAGAATATACCTGAGATTGCGGACCTCGCAAGTCTGAATGTAGATTCAACAGAAGTGGGAATATTTAATGCCATTTGATTACGATCTATCCATACCTCAAAACGAATGTGTTGTCTTCAAAATAAGTCTCATTCTAAATTGGAACATTACAACTCCAAATTATCTTCTCTAAATTAAAGTATTGATAAACTCTTGTTTAATTATTAATTGTTGCGCTTTATTCCAGGTGTTTTCACAAGACACAGAAAAGCACAACTCTTTTGACAGAGTGGACTTCTACAACATGAAAGATTCAGAATCCTACTAAATAAATGCATTTTTCTGCTTGCCGTTTCATCTTCCGACTTTTTATGCAAAAGAAAAACTTCATTTCTGGAAATGCTTTAATGCTTCAGTTATCAAACTTTTTCTTCTCTCGCTTAAGTACTTTGATTATTAAGTAAAGTAATCAACTTCGGAAAAAAGAACTTTCATTTTTTTTCTTCTATGTTCCACTCTGTGCAAAATGGTTCGCTGAAACAGTCATGCATTTTATATTATTCAACATCCACAGCTGTGTTTCTAACTTAAACGGAACATTCAAAGAAAACAGAACAAGAAAAGGCCTCTCTAGGATATTTCTTCAAATATTGAGAATGTTTCGAACGTGTGTTCTTTTCTCGATACTTTCTTTCGTCAATTGTATTTTACTTGGCAAAATTGATAATTTCGTTATTATTGGAGTTCCTGATGAGACCATATTCAACATAACTAGGAATCAGTGTATCTGTGAGATGATACAATCGAATTATTCAACATCAGCATTCAATTATTACTCAAATAATCAAACTTGTCAATTGTTCTATTCAACCGATCAGCAACGTACAATNACGAATACCGAATTGGTGTGATAAAGCACCAACGGTTTCCATCAACGGACAAGTTGTTTTTGATCGAAAAACACCTGATAATGGTTCATTCATTATTATTAATCGCCTTTGGAATAATAACGATGTCGTTTTATTAACATTACCTTTAGATTTCACGATTAAAACATGGACGCAAAATAAAAATTCGGTTTCGATTCATTATGGTCCTTTAACATTTTCATTGGCGATCGACGAGCAATACAATCGGATTGGCGGGACGAATGAATGGCCAGAATATGAAGTTATAGCGAAGTCTAATTGGAATTACGGTTTACTTCTCTCAAGTAGAGATCAATGGAAATTAAGTCGAGTGAAAAAGACAAATTATACAGAAAACATCTTCACTCAAGAAAACATTCCGATGAATATTCAAGTCCGGGCGCGTCGGATTCCACAATGGATAAAAGATCAAGAGAATGTTGTTGGAATTTTGCCACAATCACCAGTTGAAAGTAAAGAAATCGATGAAACAGTTACACTAATACCCATGGGAGCTGCACGACTTCGTATTACTGCATTTCCTACAATTGCTCAATAACTTCTTTGTATTAGAAATAAATATAACACGTTATGAAACATTGTTTAGACATAAAATTTTTAGAAAGATGAACTAACACTTCCAAACTCAAATTTCTTTTTTTTTAATCAAGAACAAATAATTGCACCAATCATGTCAAAATTCAACCGGAGTTACTATAAGACGTTCAATGCGATGTTTCTTCCCAATTATATGGTTTGAAAATCTTTCAAATCAAATGAATTCTTTGATTTCTTGTTTCACACATTGGAATATTTTAATCAAAAAGACAAAAAGATTTCGTTTCTTGAAATGGTCTTAGTTTAACGTCAATTGTCCAACATTTTCTTCTCTTGACTAGGTACTTTCGCCACAGAGTGTAACAGAATCAAGGGGGGGGGGACGACGAATTCCTTACTCTCAGGATTCCAATAAGATTTTATAGATGTATATTCTACTCTTTAATGAACTGCTTACATTCATAAATGGACTGTGTCTCTTTTCAAGGTCTTGTGTAACTCAAATGTGTCTCATACACTATATAATCAATTGTAAAATAGGTATATTTTACGGTGAAAAAAAAAACAATTCTTCGACATGAATAAACAACCAACAAGCAGTTTGCTTGTGAATGGAATTTTCCTTTCCATCAATTCCGATACGGAAGTAAGAGTTATAGCTATAATGCAGGCGTAATAGTATCAAATACTCTCATCTTATTACATTCGAATTTATCATTTGCTGAAACTGAAATTAAATCATTTTCGACATCAGTAAGATAACTCTCATCACTTTCGTACTCAACTTTTTTTGAATTTCTTTTCAAATTCATTATAAACGTTATCGAACTCTTGATTAACAATTTTTCGTATATTATCATGACAAAGATCTGTGGACAACAAATTTGAAACTAATTTTTTAGTAGTAGCATTTTTCTGCTGCCGTTTATCATGTTTTGGAAATTCAAGCGGATAGTCTATTTGATCTGTCTGATTTCGATTTTCCAGATCAACTAAAATAGAAAGTTTACCAGCTCGCTTCAGAAATTGATCTGTTGTGAAGTTTACGACAGAAGAAAATATACCAGAGATTCTGAATGTAGATTCAACAGACGTGGCAATATTTAATGCCATTTGGTTATGGTCTATCCATACCTCAAAACGAATATGTTGTCTTCAAAATAAATCTACTCCTAAATTGGAACATTACTAGTTCAAATTATCTTTTCTAACTTAAAACATCAATGAAATACTGTTTAATTATTAATCGTTGCGTTTTTTTTTCAGATATTTTCACAAAAGACACAAAAAAGCACAACTCTTTTGGCAGAGTGAACATTTACAACAACAAATTCAAAATCCTTTTATATAAATGCATTTTTCTGTTTGCCTTTTCATCTTTCGACATTTTAAGCAAAAGTTATTTTCTTTTGCAAAAGAAAAACTTCATTTCTGGAAATGCTTTAGTACACCAGTTATCAAACTTTTTCTTCTCTTGCTTAAGTACTTTTATTAAGCAAAGTAATAGGCCCCGGAAAAAAGAACTTTCATTTTTTTTTCTTCTATATTCCGCTCTTTGCAAGATGGTTGGCTGAAGCAGTCATGCATTTTATATTCCTTAACATCCATAGTTGTGTTTCTAGCTTAAATAGAACATTTAAAGAATACAGAACAAGAAAAAACTTTTCTAGGATATTTCCTGGAATATTGAAAATGTTTCGAACGTGTCTTCTTTTCTCGATACTTTCTTCACTTCATTGTATTTTACTTGGCAAAATCGATAATTTCGTCATTATTGGAGACGCTGATAAGACTATATTGAACATAACTAGGAATGAATGTATCTGTGACATGATACAATCGAATCATTCAACATCAGCATTCAATTATTACTCAAATAATCAAACTTGTCAACTGTTCTATTCGAACGTCACTTTCATCTATGTCCAATATCAACTGAATACCGTTATTTTATTCGTTAATCAATCAAATCTAGCTATTCAGTTAGGTAACTATGAAGATAATACCTTTCTCTAACAATTCTATTCTGAAATTCTTCATTTAAGCAAGATCAGTCGTACAACCAACAGTGTGTCCATCCGCTGTTTGGAATCCAAATGGCACCACTGTTGCCGGATCAGCCAGTGGTAATAGTGGATCATCTTCATCACAACTCAACAATCCATTCGATATCGCAGTCGATTCAGCGCTGAGCGTGTATGTGGCTGATTACTTTAACTATCGTGTCATGAAATGGATTAATGGTAGTGCTAATGGTACAGTTGTCGGTCCACAATTAGGCTACGGCGTCGGTCCAGATACACAACACTTGTACACTGCCACAGCACTTTATTTAGATTCGACGGAGTCAAATTTGTACATAGCCGACACGCACAACTGTCGCGTTCTCAAGTGGAATATGGTATCGAACAGTGTCACAGTGGTTGTCGGAGGTTCAGCGTGTGGATCTTCATTGAACACTTTTTATTGGAGTGATGGGATATATGTTGATCGTTAGTATTCATTCTTTTCTTGTTTTCTATTGTCTAATTCGACATTTTTTTCTGTTGTGAATAGGGTTCAGCAATATCTATGTTTCAGACTATAACAATAATCGAGTACTCAAGTTTCCTCCTAACTCGACTTCTTCCACACTGAGTGTCATAGTCGCTGGGACAGGTACTGCAGGTAGTGCGTTGAATCAACTAAGCACACCCGGTGGTATTTATGTTGATGAAAGTGATAATGACACATTGTACGTTGTTGATCGCTTGAATAATCGAGTGATGAAATATCGTGCTAATGATACGAATGGAACAGTGGTTGCTGGTGGTAATGGTCTTGGTAGCTCGTTCAACCAATTGTACGATC